TTTGTAATCCCCAGAAACATTTTAAATGTACACTCTGTATCACGAGTATAACGGAGGTAATTCCTCAAAAGAAAATCTTGTTATATTACAACATATGAATATTGTATCAAATTCAGATGATGAGCCAATTGGGTCAGAACATCACATATAAATAAAAATAAATTGTCGACAACCAATTGCGTTTCATTACACTCTGAGTGTCGAATCTAGAAATTTTTTATTGAAAAAAATCAGCGAAAAACACAATGGATATGAATGGACCTCAGAATTTGAAAGCCTAGTTTTGAATTTAGTACACAGTTTTACCATTAGTTTACACCGAAAACGGACCCGATGTATGTAACAGGCCAATTACAGTTTTTACTACAAAATATTCTGAATGGCTTAAAAAAGAATTCATTTTACCAACTTTTCAACCTCAAATGAATTATCAGACTGTTGGTCGTTCGAACAAAAATTTTGAATTGTGCTCAGAAAGATTAAAAAAACAAAAAATTTCAAATCTTGTAAAAACTTTTACTTCTCCAGAATTGACATATGCTGTAACCTCTAAACTGCATAAATCGGGGAAAAGAAGCGCAGCTTTACTTTTAACAGAATTAACGTCTACTCCTACCGGAGCTATAAAAATGCGAAAATCATTAAAAAATAGTAATTTATCTCTCCCTATACCTTACTCTCAAAACGAAGCTGTGGCATTTATCATGGATAATAATTTAACAAAAAATCAGTACACAAACATTCGAATCGGTTCTAAAACTAGAAAATTAATATTGCACATTTGTATTAAATACGTATAAATAAATAAAAGTCCTTAAGTATACCAAAATTGTTATACGTGTATCTGTTACGGGCAAAGTGGAAAATTCGGGCAATGTACACAATGCCCGGGCATCGTATACAATGTCCGAGGTACATTGGGCAATGTAAATTGTGAAGTATTTATACAAATAATCTGCATAATATTATTTTACCTAATCAATGATATTATATACTAATAATTATTATACTCGTTTATATGGTTATTTATATAAGAGTATTAATCATTTAGAAAAATTTGAAAACTGGTATGAACAAAATGAAAAACGTGAAGAACTAGTATCTTTCGTATTTTAACGATTTAATAAAACAATGTTCCTTTTTGTTGCAACAATTCTGAAGACAACTGGTATTCAGAATAACATTTCCCTTCTTTTTAGACCAACCCTTACATTTAATTTGCTATCTAATCATTCTATCCTTTCGACCTCTGCATGCATTGGACCAAGATAGTACAAGCAGTCTTGTTGCAAAAAAAGAAAGTTTGGCAAATGGATTCAAACCACATGCATCAGTGTAATTAAATTGTGCTTGGCAATTCCAAATTTTTTTTTCAAGATCAGTCCATTGTATTAGAATATGACTGTTAATAATTTCGTTTCTATTGATAATCATCTAGTAGTACATGTTTTAATTATCTTTAATGAATCATGCCTATAAATTATTACTTGAAACAAATGTTTATACTGTGCTAGTCTCAAAATAGAATGTGAAAACCAACTGCAGGTCTTTTAAATTAAATAATCTATATTTAATTGTAAGGTTTCAGCAACCGCAGCTGCAACTACTGATTGGCAGCAAATGGCATGTACATGGGATATGTATTAATGGTGGCATTTGTTTTAATATTAAGACTTTTATTTTGGAGAGTAGTCTTCAGTCTTCACAGCATTAGTCAATGCTTCTGTCTCTCAAAACTCCTATTTCAACTCATAATAAATAAGTTGAAGTCACCAGTCTTATATCTGTATACAAATACATAATTTCGTTCCCAAGAACTTAGACCCGCTTATATCAGTTGATTCATTGATTAAAATACCTAACAGCCCATTGTTGATTTCATTTTTAATTCATTTTCGAAATGGGGAGCTAATGCAATATAAATTATACCAGTACATTTAGTTCTGTGTAGTTTCATGGAATCGAAAGCCTCAGAAACAATTAAAACAATTTCACACAATTCTCCTAAATGATCATATGACAATACTGAGCTATGTGCTGCTTCTGCTGAGCAGTTTTAGTTGTTATTGATTTAATGTATGTAGATTTTTTGTAATATTCGTATTATTTTTAGTTTTTAAATGCTGCATTAAATCGCACTTTTTTGCTCTAACATTACGCTTGCTAAATCTGCGACGCACTTTACTAATGTCATTCTGTTGGTCTTTTTCTTGTGAGGTCTGTGGTCATTACACCAAACCGATTGGACCTCAGAGATTTCCTTTTTCATAACTAAATTACACTTTTTTAAATCTAGATTCTAGAGGATCAATCATGCAATCGTCAATTTCATAAATTACGCACCTATCGTTGTCAGTAACAATAAAACAAGACATTTTGATATCAAAGGGTGTAGGTGACAGGTACACTGTATATATTAATGTCCCTACTGTCCCTCGCTTATTCCTGTGCGTACAAATAATTTGAGACTTGCACGTGATAAGTATATTATGAAGTAGACAGCCCGACTGCGGTGCGAACCCCACTGGGTGAGTACTCTATATGGATAACATGTTTAAATATATTAATACATTAATATATTAAATATTTTATATATATTTTAATTTAATTACAGGCACGCTGATAAATGACTGTAAGTGCGACTTAGATACCTTGGTAGTCAATGTGCGATAATTCGATTTGATGCATGTTTATACCTGATTTTCCCTATTACCAAATAGCAATTAATAAAAAAAATATCAAGTTTTACTAAATATATTTATATATCTCCTATACGCAATAGTAACCATGTATAAACTCAAATTTCCTTAGTAAATCTCAAAATAACTATTTAAGCACCTCTCCGGGTTGGGCCTACTGGGTCCAATTGTGAATCTAAATAATCCCGGGAATCACACAAATATGTTTAATTAAATACCCAGTGTAGTTATTATTGTGTATTTTGTGGATACGTAAATAAAATGAAACTTGTCATAACCATTAAATTTGTGATTTTAGTAGTAATATCACGATGAATTCTCATTTGTCATTTTTCCCCTTTTTTGATCCTGATTTGGACCTCTTTTTTGATCCTGATTTGGACCTCCTTTTTGATCCTGATTTGGACCTCTTTTTTGATCTCTTCTTTTTTTCACCAGTCACGGCGGTGGTCTTTAAATCATCATCTAAAAATTGAGTTTCGGCGTCCGTGCGCTTTATATCTGGTGGTGAGTTAGGCAAACGCATTTCGACCTGCAAGCAGGCTACGTCGGCGGGGTTTTCATAAGCTTTGGATAGTCGCAAAACAAAGACGTGTTCCTTATCGTCCACAGGTAGTCCAGTGACTGGGCCGACCGCCAGGTTATTGGAAGACACCGGAACCGCGGGCAACACATGCATTATCCTTTTGCGTTGAGTGTTGATGTACTTTGTGGCAGTCGGTCGGTCGACAACGACGGTCGTTGGCACCACAGATTGGCCATTGTTCTCAGTGGTAGCGGCCTTGACGGCAGGGGTCCTTCTTCTTGCCACCCCATGACCCAAGTGGAAAGTGGCTCGGTCACCGACTACCCCAACCTGGCCTGGCAACAGTCGAATCATATTTGGGCCCAACCGGCCGACAGCCAATTTCTTCTTATTCACACAGAATGTTCGCATCAGCTGTAACAAGCGCAGCACGCAGTTGTCATTGGATAAGGTCGAAAAGAATCATACACTCAGACACACGCATACAGCTGCAGTATTAACCAATTGAAAATAAGAGCGGTTCCCTCGGTAAAAAAGTCGATAGGGGCTTGATAGTATGTGTACCCAATGGTACCTATTAGATACCTACAGATACCTATTATTACCATCACATATCTCTATATATAAATGAAAGATACTTTAGGAGTAATCAACGCAGAGTTGAACCTATTTGAGTTATCAAATTGAAATTTTGAGGCTGGATTAGTATTAAAATGTTGATAATTATCTATTTTCCTTAATCGAAGCATAATGCTTATCCCATATCATTTAAAACAGATCCATCTATCTTCTATCTACTACATAAAACAGTTAATTTATAATTTATTATTGCTCATTTCACACTGGAATCAATCGGAAGAAGAATGAAAAATTGTACAATTAGTTTTTTGATAAATTTTTGTTTATCATGGTTAATTAATAAAAAAAAATGAGCATTAATAAATTATAAATTAACTGTTTTATAAAATAGATAGAAGATAGATGGATCTGTTTTAAATGATAAGCGATAAGCGTTATGCTTCAATTAAGGAAAATATATATTTATTTTTATATACATTGATATTAATAGATAGATTGCAGAATTTTACTTCTCGGAACACCTATATTTAAGTAGATATAACACATAGTTAGACTTACAAAAAGTTATGGTTGCATGTCACTATGGAAACCCACAGGTTGCCGTGCTATAAAATATGTATGTACATATACAATTTGTACGTAATCAATTTATCTTTGCTAATTTCAGCCCTTTAAAATCAAAATTTTGAAAAATCCTTTCTTAGTGGAACTCAACATTTTAATATTAATCCATCCTAAAATTTCAATTTGATAACTCAAATAGGTTCAACTCTGCGATGATTACTGCTAAAGTAACTTTCCTTTATATATAGAGATTATTGCTTATTTCACACTGGAATCAATAGGAAGAAGAATGAAAAATTGTACAATTAGTTTTTTGAAAAGTTTTTGTTCATCATGGTTAGTTTAAGCAATCACGATTAAAATTTTAAACAAACTTAAGTCACGTGCTAGCCTCCACTCATACAATATTTGTATAGGTATACAATTTGCACGTTTATTTTAATTAATAACTAATTTTCCTCTCAACTTTCTTAATTTTTCAATAGAACTGTATTTGTTTAAATTTTTTGGTTGCCATTCAGTAATCTGGCAGATCAGGTTTAAGCATGTATTAAATCAAATTTTAGTACATTGCCTACCAAGGTGGCTGTCGGCTGAGTGTAACTTACACTGCACTTACAGCCGCTCACAATCAAAATAATTAATACAATTTAAATTAAACATATATTCATATAGAGTGTGCACCAACGGGGTCCACAGTCCACCGCAGGTGGATTGTCTACCTGATAATATACTGCACACATTTTCACAAGCGAGTCTCATATAGGGTTGGCATTTTTAACGAGCAACAAAATTAAGAGTATACAAGAAAATATTATTATTTTATTTATAATCCAGCTAACACTACTATTTAGCACTTGATACCCCTATGTAAAATACATTTTTTTCTTCTTTAAAACACAACAACGTGTGTTGATTTAAGAATTTAATTTTGAGAAAGCAAAAACTACACTAGGGCGAAGCGGGTACTAAGTTCAGCATTTGCTGCAAATTCGTATAGGAGACCGCCCTTCACTCATCAACGCCGAGACCAAACCGTTTTGTCTAGAGACTTGAAATTTTATACTGAGGTTCCTTAAGCAATGCAAGGGCACACGAAGAAAGGATTTTTAAAAATTCGGTCTTTATGGGGATAAAATTTTACCGGGACAGGACGGCTAGTCTTAGTATAATATTATCATGAAATATTATAATTTACACATATTGCACTTATAATTTACACTAAATACAGATAACATTTTTAATATCTTTTCTCAACTTTCTCATATATTACGAACATTAGGTGGCATCCCGGTTCCCCGAAATGGACATTCCTGGGTCGTGTATTTGTTGCAGTCAGTTACGCAACCGTAGTCACCCGGAGTGCTCATATCATCTGTATCTTGACAAGCAGACGTTTCGAACAAGTAATCCCTCATTTTCTCCAATGCTGTTACCGCGCATCTAACCATTTTGGACTCATCCCGGCAACACGCTCCACTATTTCTGGTTCGCTTAGTATGTTCCATTTTCCGAGATTCCTGATTTGTCGTGCACAAGTAAATTTTTTAAAAAGTGTAAAACGGTGAATTTTTATAATTTTTAAAAAATAAATTAAGTACATATGTTTTAACTAACTGAATTTTTATAGTGGTTGCTATGATTGAAGCATAGTTTGTATATTGAAACCAGACGATTATTTATTAAACTGGTATCTTTACAATAATCCTGATTCTAGTTAATAGAGTGAAGTAAATAGAAAGTGGATACACATAATATGTGTATTACATAATATGTTTACTAGACTCCTAAATTATGAGAAAAATATTATGAACATTACAATATAATTAGTATTAATATTTTTTAATATTGCCTTAAAAATCCAATTATTTTAAATTCAAATTCGTTTAGATTAAATAATTTATAATATAAACCGTTTTATTTAAACTAAATGTTCACATCCCTTGCCTTTTCTCCATTTATAGGTAGAGAAGAAACAATATGTTAGCAATTATATACATCATGTAAAGATAAAGTGATGTAATGTCTTATCTATTACCAAGTTGCAAATTTAACATTTTAGTCACTTTATGAATCATTATGGCAAATATAATTAATTGTAATAAATCCTTTAAAAAACTGTTAGTTTAAAAATGTTTGAAATTTTGATTTTTTTTTGTTATAAACGAAAAAAAAATGAAAAACCAAAACATATACAGCAAAAGCTTACACAAATAAAATAATAAAATATTAACAATACAAATTCGCCACAGTTCAATCATAGTGAATATTCATAACAACGGTTACAGTATACTGTAAATTTACTTTGTCGCGTCTCTCCCTACAATCACAAAGACTGTAACCTTTGTGAGTATTGGGTGAGACGCCTTCTTTAAACTTACTTTGTAGAGCTCAAAACCCATTGTAAGTCCTGAAAAAGACGTGTCCCACCCTGAATTTTTTTTTAAGAATAATACTAGATAAACAACAGTCAACGAAATAAGTTTTACTAGTCTATAATTCATCATTTTTAGAGCAGCCCAATGTTGTTTGAGTTTGTTTTAGTCAGTTAGGAGGGAGGATCTATCACTCGCCTACCACTGTGAAATAATTGAGTCACTTAAACTACAGTCAATGAAAAAGGAACCCAGGAAATTGTTTTGAATATCATCAATCACTGCTGGCAATCGTATTCTCAAATTAACTAAAAAAAACCCCGTTGTAAGGAATATATTTTTTTTAACAATAGTAAGAAGGATGTCCAGAAAGTAAGGTTACAACGTGTGTTAAAAATTGAACATATTGAAATAAAATTTACAAGACAAGTGTCAAAAAATGTCATTATTTCCCTACATAATCGCTATTGAAGTCAATACATTTTTGAAGCCTAGGTACCAGTTTTTGTGTACTCTCGTCGTACACCTTACAATCCACATCCTGAAGCCAATTGTCGAAGGTATTCTGGGCATCCTCGTCATTTAAAAATCGTAATCCACCCAAAAACTCCTTCAATTTATTGAAAAGATTATAATTCGATTGTGCCAGGTCCAGAGAGTAGGGTGGGTGAGGCACAATATCCCACTCGAATGAAACAAGCAGGTCCTGAATGAGATGTATGAGGTCTAGCGTTGTCATGAAGGAGTGACACATTAAGATTCAGCATTCATCTCTTTTTGTCCTTGATTTTTTTTTTCGACTTCTTGAGTGTCTAACAGTACGCAGCTGCATTTATGTTGATTCTTTTAGGCTTTTAGGCATAAAATCGACAAATAGTATACCTGTCCGGTCCCAAAAAAACGATGCCACGATCTTCGACTCTGAAAATTGGATTTTGAATTTTTTGGTTGATGGTGAATGGGTATGGCTCCTCTGTAGAGACTGTCTTTTTGGCTCAGGAGTATAGAGACACACCCACGTTTCATCACCAGTCACAATTGAGTCAAGAAAGGTTTTAACCTCGCCGCTTTTATACCATTCAAGAAATGTGTGTAAGCTAAAACACGATTTTGACGATGTTCTAGAGTTACAATATTGGCACTCACCTTGCACACAACTTCTTGTAACCAAGTTTTTCTGATTTGATTTCACTCAATAGGTGTCAGATATGTGGGAAACTTTCACTAAAGACGTCAAGAGTTACACGATGATCATCACGAACTTTTTTTTCAATCTGCTGCAGAAGTAGAGATGGTTTTCTACACCTTTCTTCGTCGTGAGTGTCAGTACGGCCTATTTTAAATAATCTAGCCCACTTGGTAACATGCTAACGTGGCATCACCTCAGATCTATAGGTGGACATAAGCTGGCAATGAATACTGGCCGCAAATTCGTTACTCAAAGTAAGCGACCTTATATCAGAGAGTATATCACATCTGCGGTAGTTGGAGTCATTAGAGGACGAACTGTTTGACGCTTTTGGCTTCTGTGACCTTGAGGCAATAAACCACACATATTTCTATTTTCGATAAGGAACAGGTGCAATGTACATACATGCCAACCACCGGCAGTCCTTGTTCTCGGGAGAGTATACAAGAGACCCAGAGACTGAGCTCTGTCAAAATCAATACCAGTGCATATCCGAAACCACAGTTAGATAAGTTAGAGCAGGAAAAACAAATTGTAGGCAAAAAGGTAGTGGTCAAACCGAGCCAAAACTTCAATTTCTGCAAGGACGACGTAGTTTACTAATCCACATTTACAGACATAAACCAGGCCAACCAGTAACAACAGGTGGCGGATCTCATCAATCAGCTGAGGCTGGTATCCGGGGACCAGGATGAGCCACGCACAGCCACCCAAATCTGCAGGATGTCCATCCACCACCTGTTACAGGACCCGGTGAGGGCAGCAATATACCACAAGGGCTGGACAGACAGGACGGCGGACATCCAACGGAAGCTGCACCTGACACAGCTCGGGCCATCGCGTCCGCAACAGCCACAGGCAACGCAACACTCACCGTCGAGGCCAAATCGATAACAGCTGGCAGCCAAAAAGGTGAGTGGTACTCCCAGTCCCTTGAGGCCTTGACGCCCTGGAAGCCGACACCGGTACCAGGCCCGTCAGGAGTGGCTCTCAAACCAATGGCGAGGATGGAAACGGTGCACAGTAGGAAAAGAGGAAGTACAGGGAGCTCATGACATACCAACAACACCGGATAGCCAAGCCGAGGGCGAAAGACCGGAGGAGCTATTACCAACCACCAGCCAGGCGCAACACAAACCACCGACTCGGAGATATTCACCGAATACTCGTGGCTGTTTGCACCAGGTCTGTCACTAGAGGTGCTGCCAGGGATTTAGTACGAAAAACCGTTCTTCACTCCGGTTAGTTCTCCAAACCGGGCATAGGAGCAAACGGGTAAGGCAAGCTTACCTCAAGCTTACTTGCAAGAGGTAAAGAAAGCACACTTCCCTCTAGCGGGACACCGACACCGGTACAACTGTATTAGTATGACACTCTACGCAGCTTCAGCCAGTACGAAGTACAGGGACCGTAGCGACCGGTCTGCGCTTTTACCAACCACCACCACGGGTTACGACAACGCGATATAGTCGACTCTCCTGCCACGCCACAAACGCACGAGATGGAAAGACAAGTCGCAATGGACCCAGTCTCACCCTCTTACGTAAAACGAACAACACGTCAACCCGCCGATTGCCGTACAACATACCACGTTTCATAAAACCATCTGTTTTACAATTTTTATATAAGTTTATAATGAGTGACTTATCACATAAATAAAGTTCTATTGACGGTACCAAACCAACAAGTGTGTGTGTAATATTTTTTTCTTCTGTCGTCCACCGACTCCATGACAGTATTTTGTGACCGGTCTACCGTGACGAACAACACCACCGTCATAATATCTGACACTTAACCAAAAGGGACACAATCAGAACTCAAAAATCTGTTCAATTTTTTGGAAACTCGGTGTAGGTACCCCTTGTACATAACGAGATTGTACAATTCTTTTTTTCTGGTTAATACTGCTGACGTTTACATGCATTTTTATCGTCACACTTGTTTTTATCGCATTTGCAGTGTTAAAAAAACATATCATTACCTCTGTTCAGAAATACAGTATCGCTAGGAAAATGGAATAATGAAAATTATGTTTCTACCGGCAACACTGGTTTTCCAACAGGTGTTGCAAAGTTGTCCCCTTTGAGAACCCATGTTAAACTTAAAGGTATCCTTTCTGGTTATTCTGTAGTTGGAGCTCAATTAATGGAAGAGGGCTACTGAAAAAGTGTCTTTTTTATCAACATATAATTAGGCTATAACGAAATTTATAAAAAATTAATCCACAAATTCTCCCACAGCTACGTAACTGACTATTCCACTGTTATAATGATGCATTTATTATGTGCATATACTTTTTAACAAACAATTAATTAAATAGATTTTAACAGTATTGAGGTTTTATGCAAGTGGCTCTTACCAAAAAGATAGAATAAGATAGGACAACGATCGAATGGAGTGACGGATAATATTTTTAACGGTACACAATAAACTAATATAACTAACCAAATACTAACGATTTAGCTTTTATCTATTTTTTCCTTGGATAGTCCTAGTAACATAACTCATAAGTTATAACAGAATTATACTAAAAAATGTACCTACTATAGTAAATAATAATACACAAATAATAATAAATATTAATAATATTATATAGGCTGAGTAGTGAGTGCTGTCTTCGCTTTTTGTGATTGAATTATTTTCCCAAGTAACATATAAATATTTAACGAATATTAAATCAATATTCATTTTCCATATTTTGTTTTGATTAGATTTTCATTTGTATTACATTTGTTTTCCATTGAATGAACCAAAAAGAAATGTTATCTGTTTAATCCAATAATTGTTTTATGTTATGAAATTCTAAACAAGGCATGCATTCAAAATCGTTCAACATTTTTGCACTATACCACTCATTTACTTCCACTTGAATTCTTCCCTGAACAACCGGTAAACATAAGGATATGGAAAAATCTGGTTCAAATCCATCAATATCGCCAACATTTGGCTCAAAACTATATGGTTTTAAAGACATTTTAAAACGTACAAGTACGGACTTATAAGATAATAAATGCGGAGACACTAAGTGCCTAATATGTTATAATATGTAATAAATTGTGATACTATTGGTAACAGATAACGAAATAAAACGAATTTAGTCGAAATGTAGTTTGTTGTGGTATTTAGGAAAGCCCATAAACTGAACAAATCAAAATAATATGTATAAATTCTGGACAAAAAAAACGTTTTCTAGGTTTAATATTTATTATTTCTATAGGATGTTGATATCAATTTGTAGGAAAATATCTAAGCTTTTATAATATGAAAACCGCTTTTCATTTTGAGTATTATAAGTTAATATATAAATAAATTACTAACGACGCGTCGAGGAAATAAGTGTATTGAAAAAGGCTGACCGATGGAACCTGTGACGTCACGCGTCATCTTAAAACGTGAATAAGAACCGAACGGAGCGAAGCAACGAAAAACTATTTTTATCCAAATAAATAATTGTTTTCATTCTTCAATATTTCATAAAAACATTTTTTTTTTAATTTTCACTTGGATAGTCCTTTAAGTACCTATTGGACATTAGTTATATTAGTACTACAGTTTAACCAATATTAATTGTTTCCGAAAAAATTGCATTAGAAAACGTCATTGTGTATATTATGATTATATAAAATATAATAATATACTTTAAAAGTTTCAAATACCCACGAAAAATATTTTTAAATTACAACAAAATAACTAAAATCATTATTCTTTGTTTAAAATGTTAAAATATTTAATTTCGTCCAAATTTGAATAAGAAAAAAGTAGAAGATATTAGAAACCGTTGTGCAGTCATGAAAATCTTAAATTAAAAAATAAATCAAAACTTATTTTAAATGAAAATTGTAAGTGCATTTTTTAGGTGATTGATTAAAAAAATATTGAAATATTTGAACGAAATGACCATACGCATTATTTTGTTCCACAATAATTATATTTCAAATTATATTTATTCCTATGTAAATAGTTCCATACATAGTCGTGTCCAGACCTTATTCGTAGGTGGTGCACAGCAGTGGCATATTCAGGGGGAGTAGGTTTCTGCAAACCCCATCGCCCACTAAAAAAAAATTATGTTTCGGTTTAAGGATATGACCCCCAAATTTCTTAATAAGCTTTATCATCATTATCTAATTATGATTAAATCAGTTTTACTTTTTTTATTAGGAATAAAAAACAATATTCCTTTTATTAGATAAATAAAATAACTAGGCAATATAAAATTTATTTATTTTTTTTTTATTGTTACAGCATCAACATCATGGTTATTAGCTTACAAGATTATATGGTTATGTACATAAGGGGGTTTTTACAGTGATACAATAGTGATTAAGGGGAAAAAGAGAAAATATAAAAATACATAATGAAAATAAATTATAAAAATTAAGTTAAATTAAGTAGTACATTTCAATTTTTTTGACAAAAGATATTATTTTTGGTATGTCTGCGTAAGGTCCTATGGCATCATACAGATTGTCTGGAATTTCATATTCTTTTCTGGCTTCAGTGAAGATTTGGCAGTGGATGATGATATGCTTGACTGTCATGGGAGTATTGCAAGAGCGGCATATAGGAGGTTCGGTCTTTTCCATTAGGTATCCATGGGTTACTCTCGTGTGGCCAATTCTAAGTCGGTTCACAATAACATCTTCTTTTCGGTTTGAAAAATTGAGTTTTGGCCAAGGTTCAACTGAGTGTTTGATTTTCCTTAATTTGTAATCGGTAACTAGACGCCAATCTGAGTCCCATAATTGCATGCAGTATTTGTCGACGTTTCTGATTATATCAACTGGAGACATAAGAGAAAGTGTTAAGGAGTTGGGGTTACTTATAGCATTTCGGGCTGCTTTGTCTGCTTCTTCGTTTCCTCTGATATTGCAGTGATCCGGAGTCCATATGAAACGTATGTATTTATTGGATAAATGTATAATATTTTTTATCTTTAAGACTAAGGGATTGATCTGAGTATTAGATTTTATATTTGACAGGACACTGAGTGAGTCGGAACAGATGTCGATTCTTTCATAATTTTTATTTACAGCTGTTTGAACACCTTTTAAAAGAGCTATGTATTCAGCCGTATAAATACTGCTATGATTATTTAATTGAAATGCTTGAGTAGAACTTTTATGTATAACTGCCAGACCTATGCCTGTAGAAGTTTTGGATGCATCTGTATAGATTTGTGTCTTATTATGGTTATCCGTATGAATTAGTTCATTAAATAGGTTCCGATAGACTATTTCGGGTGTTTCTTTTTTAACATGGGCACTAAGACTGGTATCAATTTCTAATTGATTTAAACTCCATGGGGGAGTAAGGCAGGTCTCATATTGAAGGATTGTGTCTGGGGAGATATTGTTGTCGGACATTTCTTTGCGAAATCTTGTGCTTAGTGGTTTTCTGAGATTTGTGTTTAAAACATATACAGATGGAGATTGGTTTACATTTAGATAACGAATAGTTGAATTATCTGGAGTGGACAAAATTCTGGTTATATATTTGAGTGATAGTTTTAGCCTGCGATATTGAAGTGGAGGCTCCCCAGTGATGGCTAATAGGCTGGAGATAGGGCTGCTTCTGAAGGCTCCAATTGAACATCTTATACCGGTGTTATGGACTGGGTCAAGAAGTTTGGATATATGCCAATTAGAGTTTCCATAGCAGATTGAGCTGTAGTCTAGTTTTGATCTAACTAGTGTTCTGTATAAATTTAATAAAATTGAAAACTCGGCACCCCATTCTAGATGACTAAGAGTTTTAATTACTCTTAGGTTTTGGTAGGCTGATTTTTTTGTTTTCAAAATGTGAGGTTTCCATGTTAATTTAGAATCGAAGGTAAGGCCAAGGATAGTAATATTTTCAGTAAAAGGCAAGCAGATGGTGTTTAAGTAAATTTTGGGTCTGGTTACGTTCCTTTTTCTGGAAAAAAGGATACATTTGGTTTTGTGTGGAGAGAAAATAAAGCCTGAATTATGACACCATTTTGACATTTCATTGAGGCAGTCTTGTAGTAATTTGGTTATTGAAGAGATTGAATTTCCTCTAACGAAGATGTGTGTGTCGTCAGCAAAGATAATTGATTGGATTGGTTTAGGTATGGAGTCAGGGAGATTGTTGATGGCGGTTTGCAATAGAAAGACACTGAGTGGAGATCCTTGCGGTACACCATTTTCTAAATCAAAGGTATTAGAGGTGTACTCCCTGATTTTTAATTGAAATGTTCTTTGGCTTAGGAAGTTAGTTAGGTAGTTTATCATATTACCGTGAATATTCCATTTTTTAAGCAATTCGATTACTCTGTAACGCCAAACAGTGTCGTAAGCTTTTTGTAAATCTAAGCTTATTAGAATCATTATTTGTTTATTAGCAAATGTCTCCAATATTTCTGATTCTATTTTTACATGGCAGTCAGTGGTGGAATGGTGCTTTCTGAAACCATGTTGGAAAGGTGATAGAAGGTTATATTTATTCGCAAACCAATATAGTCTGTTGTATACTATTTTTTCTAGTAGTTTGCTCATGCTACACAGGACAGAGATTGGTCGGTATCCGGTTGGTTTTAATCTATCATCGTTTTTTTTGGGTATAGGAGTGATAATAGCATTTTTCCATTTGACTGGTAATATCCCCAATCGCCAGATCTGATTGAATAGTTTAAGTAGTAGGAGGTTGCCACTTGGGGTTAGGTTTTGTAAAAAGATAAAAGGTATTTTGTCAGAACCACAACTGTTACTCTTTTTTCCTAGTAGACCTGTATTTAGTTCACTTAATGTTATCGGTTCATTTAGAATGTCCCCTAAGCTTTGGTTCTCATATATGAAGGGGGAATTATTGGTTTCGGTTTCTTGTTTATATTTTAGGAAGTCATAATTTAAGTTGGCGTTGCTACTATTTGAATAGAAGTGATGCCCAATTGACTGGGCTATTGTATGAGGGTCGGTAAGAATTGCATTGTCTGTTAAAATGGTTTTAATTTGTACCAATGTTATCCCTTTTATGATTTTAACTTTGTTCCAGATTTTTGTAGCTGACTCTTTGGAATTTAATTTTGAGGTGAAAAGTATCCATGATTTTTTTTTTTTCATTTTTGATTAAAAATCTTACTTGTGCTTTGTTTTTTTTAAAAATCTATAAAGTCCTGGATTTGTTTAGTGCGTTTGTATTTATTAAACGAAGTCTTTTTATTTCTTATAGCGTGTTTAATATCTTTATTCCACCAAGGGACCGGGGGGCGTTTTCCAGAGTAGCTATGTTGTTCAATATTATTTGCGGTTGTATTATAAATTAGTTTACTAAATTGTTCAATATTTTCATCAATAGTATTTTCATTTGAAAAAAATGTATTTTTTAGATTTTTTTTGATTTCCGTTTGGAACTTGTTCCAATCAGCATTTGATAATTTCCATTTAGGGTTACGGGTGTGTATTTCATATGGGTTGGTATAACATAAGGTTATTTTAATTGGGAAGTGATCACTACTAGAAAGCTCCGGAATAACGTCCCATTCTAAGTTAGGTGATATTGTTGCAGAGGAGAAGGATAGATCAATAGCGGAAAGGTTGCCATTACTAGAGTTCACTCTTGTTGCTTGGCCGTTATTGAGAATGTTGATGTTATTGGTATTAAGAATTGTTTCGATTTTGGTTCCTCTAAGATCGGTGTCATTACAACCGCACAGAGTGTTGTGGCTATTGAAGTCAACCAGAACGATAAATGGGGTGGGTAGTTGATCAATAATATTTTGGATATCTAAAGCGTTGAAGTCTTTGGAGTTTGGTAAGTAAATATTGCAAATGGTTAAATTGCTTTTAGCTGTTAAGTTTACAGCTATTACCTCGAGATGTGACGTTATGGGAATTTCTTTCGAAGGGACAATATTGTTTATGAAAATGGCAACTCCACCGCTGGCCCTTCCTGTGCGGTTTCTATTTTTAATATAGCTTGAATAATTATTTANTTTTTTTTCAGCTCAAATGGCATAGCATTAAAATTAATTGAACCTAAATAATCAACGAACATATTACCTATATTTTTTTTTGTGTAACTAACATGCAAATCGTAAGCCCTGTGCTCCCGTTTATTGACGTTTTTAATAGTAATTTTACCGGCTTTAAATAGAATGGAGAACTGCTTATATAAATAACGGACCGGTAGGACTCTCAATTCTTTATAGTTTAAGGAAGTCGAGCCATAGAGCTCCTTTTTCCCTAGACACAATCTTACTGCATGATTTTGTTGAATCACCAGTGGTTTTATAGCATTATCAGAACACCCACCCCATACTAAAAGACCGTATTGGAAAATTGACTTATAAAGTGCGTTATATACAGTATACATTGTTTCAGTAGGTAAGAGTTTATTAAGTTTGAAGAATTTGCAAATAACAGATCTTAATCTCATAACCACATTTTCAATATGAAATTTCCACCGTAGATTCCAGTCTAAAATAAGACCTAAATATTTAACAATCGTAACCCTACTTATTTTTTGGCAGTTACATGATTTAAAATTTAAATCTTGATTTTTACAAGAGTGAATAATAATATCATCGAAAGGTATGTACGTATTATAAATTGAGAAAGCAATGAAAACACTTTTACTTATATTCAAAGTCAACTTATTATTATTTAGTTCTTTAAAAACAGTATTTACTCCAACAGTCGTTTTTTGTTGAACGTCATCCCAAGAGTTTCCAGAAAAAAGTAAACAGGTATCATCAGCATAGGTTACAACTTGACCGTCAATACGTAGGTTACAGATGTTATTTATATACAAAATGAATAAAAAGGGTCCTAAAACACTGCCTTGCGGTACACTGTTCACAACGAACGATGGAAGATGATTTTTTTTTAGAATAAAATATTTTATATTATTAATAATCTAATATGTAATAAAATTTAAATAAAAGTTAAATTTGTTTATATTATGTATCAATTAAATCATTTGACAATGTTTATTTATTTAAAATAAAATCAATAAAATAATTATTATTTCAATTTATCGAGTTTTAATTGAAATATTGCAATACACGGTCAAAATCACCGTGTGCGTGGAATCTCGTGAATATTTTTAATGCGTGTAACCTAGGGTTAGATGTGTGGCCCGTTTGTTTACAGAGATAACACATCACTTTGTCATCTGAGAGAAAAATGCGATAATCTTTTTGTTCAAAATTGATTAGAATTGAACTGGGCATTTTATTAATATCATCGGGATGAATATAAAGTTGACGTCGAAAACTTCCTATGTGATTAAATTCATCATTTGCGAAGCCTGCTTTCATGAATGTTATCGGTGTAATTATTTTAATTGCTAAATTGTTGAATGCATTAGTAATTACGTCGTGTGGTATGACCGGTTGTACATTGGACACAATTACACGTTTGGCTTGGTTGATAAGACGGCGAAAGGCTATCTTCTTGTTATTTATAATAATGTACAGCTGTTTGGTGATAATCTGTTCTACGATATTTTTGCTTGCAAAATAGATACAAAAACGATTGTTTGATATGCGCGAAGCAAATTTTATATTGTTTGGATTAGTAAGTTGGCTAAATGCTTTTATATATTCGATTTGGGGTAGGTCTTCAATGGTATTAAATATTACTGCTTGATCTTTTTTTGGAAATTGGATATTAGCGGTTGTTTCTGCGAAAGTTTTTTGAGAATTGGATTTTTGAGCTGATAGTGTAGTTAAGTTGGAGTTTGAATTTATGTTATCCACCGTGATGAGATGGATGTGAGATGATGTTGCTGAGACTAGGGGGGGCCGAAATAAAACAACATACCTTATCGATTGGGGCGTTCACGTGAACTGCTATCGGAAGCTAAAAATGCGATTTCGTAGACCGGGAATATACGTGTGTATCGGTCGGCTGATAAACACGTACTGAAAATTGTATTTTAAAATATAATTAATTTGTAATACTTTGTACAAATGTTTTTATAATCACAAATCATCTTAATATATATTATAATTCTAAACGTCGTTTTGTTGGTATCATCACTTTAAATTCCTCGATAACTTCGTCATAATTAATATTTGTTGTCATCTGTTGTTCAATGAATAGAAACATTAAAGCGTCAAGTCTTTCTTGAGTCATGGTGCTGCGGAGTTTTTTATTTGAGGAATGATCACTCCAGTTTCTGTACAACACTCAACTGTCTCATTATAAATTTTTTTAAATAAGTTTTCATCTGATCTTAATTGAGATATGCTCAGTTTTAGTGATTTGATCATACTTAGAGAATTTAATAGATCTAAATCCTCAGCTTGGAGACATGAATTAACTTTAACAATGAGTAATAAAAGAGGATGTAGCATATTTAGTGCAAAAATGAATTCAAATGTTTGTAATTGCATCAGTAAACCTTTTGACTTTGATCTTACATCTGGAATTTTAATTGTGTCGCAGATATTTTGGATTGCAGAGATAATGGCCAAATAATTATTTTTTACTGCGGCGACAGGTTCAAATAGACACGCCTATCGTGTTGTAGAAATAGATTTTAGAGTTTTAAGAGTTAAGTTTATTTCTGTGGCTACTTTTTCTAATTTAGCGTGTCGAATACAACTACCCTCTATAAATGAGTACAAAAATTGTATTGTACCAAAGAAATCAAAAACTAATCGATTCTTTCGGCCAATAGAATCTATCAATACTAAGTTTAGGCAATGTGCATGACAATGAACATAGAATATTTTAGAATTTATTTCTTTGCATTTTAATTGGACACCGTTAGATTCTGCCATAGTAGCGGCTCCATCAAAACACACAGCAACTACATCCAACCAGCTGAGACCCAATTGTTTCTCTATAATGGAACTTAGAGAATCAAAAATAGACTGTGAATCTACTGCTGTTAGTTGCATCATGCAAACAAAATACTCAACTGGTGAATTGATTATATCATCGTAATATCTTACAATAACTGACATCTGTTCGTGATGGCCACAGTCACTAGTTTCATCAGCCATGATTGATATTTTTTTGTTTTTTAGAGAAGATACAAGTTTTCTTTTATGAACAGAATGAATAGATAAAATCAAATCGTTTTGAATTAAATTACTAATATAAGTTGCATTTTTGGGGGCTTCATCCAAATGTTTTTTTAATGTCGTATCATACTTTTTAAACAGCCAGGCAAGCTCCAAAAACATTCCTCTAATATCACTCTTTAGATTTTCATTGTGCCCTCTGAATGGCTTTTCAGTTTTAGCTAAAAGTATAGTTATATCAATTAACCTTTGCATTATACTTCTATTATTCAACCTACCACTTTCTCTTTTACTCAGAACTAGCTCTTTAGCTTCATCTAAAACAACATCAATAGATTTTTTTATGGACATTTGATAATGATTCAGTACTATAGAAATGTGATTTTGTTTTCTGATGTTTTCTAAAAGAAGTAGTACTAGTACTCCAAGTTTTGAACCCTCTGGTAGTAAATGCTTCATCTGATTGACCTATGTTCAAACTATTTGACTTAGACATCCTACATTGGAAAACTGTAAGCAGAGTCACTAGAAGGGCTGTATTCTAACCAAGAAAATTCTCCATAATATTGTTGGTTGAAAGAACGGTTTTTATTTCCAAAGGTTGTCCTTGGAAAAATTTGTAATTTAGGTTAAAATGGACGACGGTTTACTCTTTCTTTAAATTCAAGGCGATTAGTAGGTAAATTAGTTACAGGATCATCATAGTGTGGCAAATTGTTTACTGAAATGTATACATAAATAATGTATTATTTAAATTATCAAATCAATTGAATACAAATGGTTTATCTAAACTCTCAACTACTTGGTAAAGCTATAAATTATAATATATAATTAAACTCAAAAATGCATGCAATAGAAAACTAAAACATAAATAATTTATACCTCACTTACTTTGTTTAGACATATTTATAGATGAGTAATAGGTTGATATTTTAGGAAACTAAAAAATAGTGGTCAGGTTTTGATTATTTATTTATTTATAAATACACAGTTTTAAACATAAAATATAGGTTAGCAGGTACTATAACATATAACATATAAATACTACAAACAGTATAAATATTTAATAAATAACACAATACATAAACAGCAAACACAAAATGTTGAACAAACATAAATATTTTCACAGACATTTATTGTAAAATCAATTTTTCTTTAGACATTTTTATATAAAGTAATATATTATTATACCTAGTTGCCCATTAATAGACACTAGCATGGAACATTCTGGCTCTTGCTGTATTGCTTTACCATTGGTCGATACTAAAAAAAAAAATTAAAATTATAGACAACAAATAATATGTTGTTACTCACATATAAATTTATGTTAGAATAATGTATCATGCATGTATACTTGATTGCTCATTAGTAGACATTGATGTGGAGGTGGAACATTCTGGATCTTGCTGGAATATGTTAATATCGGCAGATCCTAAAATAATAATTACATTTTTAAAACATTTTCAGCAGCTATAATAAATAATAATAAATATAATAAATTACTTAATTAAAATTAGTAATTTACTTACCATTATTGGAATTAGCACTTGCAGATTTTTTAAAGAAATTTAGAATTGTTTTATTACTCATTAGTCGTTAAACAATACACAATAAACATGATAAGTTCTCTGTTCGCACGTGTTTCATTATTTATCAAATGGTACAAATGTTATCATAATTCTATCATAAATGGTGGAGAATCTGTCATTTATCATTATGTCGTGAAGATAATAATGAACAAAAACTACACTAACAATTAGTACACAATTAAATGAAATACTTCTATTATCAATGCCAAATAACAACAAGGGAAGCACTATCAATAATTGTAATAGATATTAAAAGTCCACATGATGAAAATCAAAAAATTTAATATGAAATCAGAATCTAAGAAAAAAGTTAATATTATTATGTACCGCAATTCATAATGTAAGTTAGATCAAATTTCGCAGGTCATGCCTGTGCCTGGCTATGGTTCCATAAAACATGTCTTCCAATTACAGCTTGTTAAAAGCAATATTTCTTCCAACGACCAATTTTTCCCTAATAACTTTGTTCTAATAGCTATTTGTGGAACTACAGATGTTATCCCACCGGTACGCCAGTATACATTTATTGTTTTGGCGGGAGATTGTATTATTTTTTATCATTGTACATTTAAATTTAGATTGTTTATATTGGTATACATTATTTTAAAATGTCAAATATATTAGTACGTATTAGGTTAAACTAGAATGTTTATTATAGAAATTGGTTTTAACCTTAAAGGACTACACAACAGAAAAAAATTTTTTTTTTTTATATTTTTGTGAAATATAACTAAATAATAAAAGACTATTGGCACCACTAAAAATTGTTAGCGTCCAATATTTAGCCAGTTACGGGTATTTGAAAAATACGCGTGACGTCATAATTTCGCCGCCGCCGTTTACTCTGTACACGGTTTTAAGGGAATATTACAAGTCTCGCTGTTTAAACGCGTATAACTCGGCTAATAATAAATTTTTTGATTTAGACCCTTAAAATAATTTAAAGCTTTAGAACTAAATTTTTAATTTAATATTATTTTCTTGTAAAATTATTAAACGGTTTATTTATAAACGAATGATAAACTTTCTTAGCAATATTTTTGTATTATTAGATTTATTCATTTCTTTACTTACGTACGCCGTTCGTATTCAATATATGAATAATATTATTGTGGTGGTTTATTAGTGTGTATATATGTACAATAAAATATGTTTGAAAATTATTTTTAGACGAATGATTAGTTAATAACATTACTTTATGTGTATTGTATTTACATCAGTAGGTATTATTATTATTAGCTATCAGTAGGACAAGCAGTCGCCAGTCGTCACAAGCACAAGCACAGTACACGCATACAACCTGTATATTTTTTTACTCTAGGTAATATTAAAGTTTTTTTAGTGCTATCAAACTAATTTGTGACATGGCATTACAACCATATAGTTTTGAGCCAACAATCAACGATATTGACAGTAATTTCAATCCGATGCATTTTGCTAAAGACATTTTAAATACAAATTTGTACGAAATTTTTTCTTTTACAGAATTCACTCCATTTTTTAAATCGTTTAGGAGATTTTTCTCTTTTAGGAAATGTAAAAAAATGTATTTTTTCTGGGCCTGTTTTAACACCTTCTTCACTATGATTAGAACAACCATAAACGGAACACAACATTTTAATAGGTGCAATCATTGATTATAAATACTAGTACTAGTAAATAAATACTAGTATTTATAATCAATGGTGCAATCTTTTATTTTATTGTATAAATATAAACTATACTGCGCATACGAAAACTAAACATACGATTACACGAAACACGATGAGTACGGACTCGCGACGTACGACTGAGGCCTAGACGACTAGACAGTATTATTTATATTAATTATTACAGTTTTTATTTTGATACACCACTGGGCAAATATTGTTATTTATATTACGATAAACACAAAATTATACTAAGTTAAATAATACTGTAAAATATATTATCTACAAACATGTATAAATAATAAATATAGTTACATTTACACAATAATAATACGGTGCACAACAGTCCTAAAATAGTCTACAGTCGTATAAATAAATGTTTGTTTAATTTTTAATTGAATCATATGATGAACTTATTATTGTAAAAAACATGCAATAAAAGAAAAATTTGTGTACTTTAAATTATTATAAAGGTCTACATCAATAAATTGAGTATTAGTCGACTTATAAGAGATTAAACAGCGAAAGTTGTATTACTCCCGTAAAATCGTATACATAGTAATCGGCGGCGTCGAAATTATGACGTCACGCGTATTTTTCAAATGACTGCCGCAGGCTGAATAATAGTTGTAAATATATTTTAATGGTATCTCTGTTTTTATTTCACTTAATACTATATTTTAAAATAGACTTGTTTTTTTGAGTGTTATGGTCCTTTAAACGCTATTTGTTATTTATCAATAAAAATAATAAAGGAGATATTTTTTTTATTGAAGAAGCAATGAATGTATAATTATGGATGAAACAAATAACGTTTATGTAAGTACAACACATAAATTAAACTATGTAATTTAAAAGAGTACTAAAGAATGTTGTTTTGTTAATTATTTAGGTATGTAATGATTACTTTGGAGTAAAACATTTTGGAGGTTGGTACAATACCTTGGTACAACCCCGTCAACATTAATTCCTAACTCTATTATAATATTGTCATCAAAACAATCAATATGCTCAGATAAAGTTTTACATAACATATACTCAACACCAATATGAATGTAATCTCCTGGAGGTACATTAATAATAGTAGGGAAATTAGCTTTTGGGGTTTTTAATAATGTCCTGGCGTCTTTTGGAAGATTCAGATTTTCAGACCGCAAAATTGTTAGAAGAGAATTCAAACAGTTGTGTGAAACATGGAATTCAGCAACCCATTTTTGCAGTTTAATTTTTAAAGTTTCATTATCAATATTATCATTGTAGTTCATGTTTGTATCACATTGATCATTGACAGTTAAAAATGTTTGAGGTTCAGTACAATTATATGGTGATATTGTTGAGACTGGTGTATTATCCACAACTGCAGAAACATCTTCAGAATTTAGAATACAAGATACATTTTGTTCATGTTTCTGATAAGCATTTTGAAAAAGCATATCCATATGGTTGGAGGTATTGTTCTGTGTACGACGCAAAAAATGTCTTCTTGATAATGATTCATTATTCTTTCTCTTTCGAATCTGAAGAAGTTTAATAAAAACAAAATATAAGTTTTATTTTAGTTTTAAGAAAACAAGCTAACAGCTTGGACAGTTAAGATAGAATAAATTAAAATAATAAGTTTGGATATGCTAATACTAGTAATGTTTAAACTTTAAAGCAAAATAATGAAATAGTTTTATTTTGTTACACTTTTTGAAAAATTGTTATTTTATTTATTTTGACTTCTAAATGCATATTATAATTATAATATAGTATAAAAAAAATACATTTGTAACTAATGAAACAATTAATAAAAATGACAAATACAAAATAAACAAATTTAAATATTTTTAGTTACTAGTTATAGTTTTTAAATGCATAGTATAATAATATTGTATATAAATAGCAAAATGTTAATTTGTAACTAATGAAACAATTTTTAAAAAAAATGACAAATACAATAAATAAACAAAGTTAAATATTTGTGATTAAGCAAAAAGTAAAATAAGTTGAAAATTAGATTTTTATTTTTTCTTCTCTTTTGAAACGTTGTAAAGCATGGCGAAACCAGTCTTTAACATGGTTTTCGAAATCTGATTCTTTAGCTTGAAATGTATTAATAGCTGTATCTAAAATTCACATGAAACAAAAAAAAATTAAAATGATGAATCTTTTCAAAATATATAAATTTTGATAGATTACTTTTGATAATATTCACGATATTTAGATTTTGGAGTGCTTG